TCGTGCCTAAAGACACGGTGTAAATAATTTTAAGATTAAAATGCAGTTATAATTTATACGTATTATGTTGAAATTTATAAAGTTTGTGTCATTTTTTTTATAAAGATACTGAAAAAATATATTGAAATATTTTTATTCTTAAAGAACTTATAACAATTTTGCTTGTATTACACGCTCTACAAAACTCAAATAAAATAACTCCTCCTAATCTTAATGCAAATCAAAAATATAAAAGGCAATAAAAGAAAATTGTATATCTAAAAGTAAATTGAACAATTTAATTCCCAATGGAAGGCATATCAAAAATTTTAATCCAGATGATAAATTACATTAAACTGGATAAATTACATTTTAAGATCAAGTATTATATATCTATCTGTTATTGTAGATTAATCTATTATTGCAAAACATTTATAAATGATAATATTAAATTAAAAAAAAATCGTAAACTAAAAGCAAATTGAACAATTTAATTCCGTATGGAAGCCAAGCAACATATTAAAGAAGTAGGATACCTTTAATGGTTTAGCCAATTTTCTATGAACAACAGCTGATTAAAAAAAAAAAAAAAATAGAGAGAGGAGCACTAAGAGCACTAAAGATCTTTGCAATTTTCTTATTTGTATAATCAATTTTACTCCCCAAAATTACTATATGTGAGAGATATTTCATTTTAAAAAAATTTAAAATAAGACCTACCAAATACCCATGAGCTTCTTAAGACTCAGCACACAGATTGCAAAGATCTATGTGTAAAATCAAATAGAGAGAGGAGCACTAAAGACCTTTGCAATTTTTTTATTTGTATAATCAATTTTACTCTCCAAAATTACTATATGTGAGAGAAAGATTTCATATTTGAAAAATATAAAATAAGACCTACCAAGTACCAATAAGCTTCTTCAGACTTAGCACACAGATTGCAAAGATTTATGTGTAAATTGTCACAAATTTTAGTCAACACTATTACAATGAGCACACAACAGGTTCTAATTGCTTATTTGGAGTCTTTTGTTGTTCCAATTCTACGTGCACTGAACATATAAAGCTGATCAAGAAGGCTTATTCTTTCCAATTTTGGCTACTTGTATTTCAAGTATCTCCTTCAATATAGCTAGCTATAAGACCTAGGATGGTTTTGAGTGGATGTTTTTTTTCCCCCTCCATTTTAGCATTGGATACTATCATGAGCTAAATTTATATTAAAGAACTGGTAGTTTTGGATCCAAAATATAAAAATACCATCTGGAGGTGGAGTGTGATCATAGAAAGGGAAAACATTATGGAGTCATCAGCCAATTGCTTTTGTCTCTTGATTATGACTTAGCTTATGCCTAATGGGATTGGTACTTACTAATGAAATTGATCGGTTAAAGAGTTTCATTCCCTGAAGATATGTCATTTATTAGAATGTTACTTTGAACCACACACACATAATTTGTTTAACATGCATCTATTGATACAAATAGGTATTATTTTGTTCATATATTAAGACTTTCATAATATGAAAAAATGAACTTATAATTTTAATAATTTTGTAGGAAAAATGGAATCATTCACAGTATTAATCTGTCAAAGTCCAACTGCATATTTAATAATGGCGTCAGTTCTATTTTCTATGTGGGGATAACTATCACATGGAATCTCTAGTATATTTGTGGCATTTTTGAAGTGTTCATGCACATGTCCATGTGTGATGGAAATTGATCTATATATCTTGCCAGGTGATGTCTGAAATTCAGAATCCAATCCATGTGGAACTTGGTGGTGTGCTATCTAGAAAGAGAGGCATGATTTGTGAAAGTGTAGTGAATTAAATGTGAAATAGAATGCTTATCCATTGAGATTTCATTACATGACCAATGGGTGAGGCCTCAACCTTGAGGCAGAACCTTGATACAAATCTAGCAAGCTAAAATTATGGAAAAAAAGCCTCTTAACCTAGCAACCCACCACCAAGCTAAGATATGCATATACATATATATGATCAATTACATGTCCAAGATGACTACTAAAATGAAGCATATTCAGTTGACAGAGGACTTGAAAAAGTGAAACAGGAAAAATTCCAAACTATTTAAGTCTAAGTCAGTCTAAAAACAATTGAAGTTGATAAGACAAAAAAATCCAAGACACTCATTTTATATTATTTTTTTAAGAGCACTGAATTTCATTTTAAATAACAAACATAGAAAAATCAAAATTTTAAATACTGAATTTCTACACAAACAAACAAACAAAAGCTTATTAAGTCTAAAAAGTTGCGAACATTTGTGATAGTGCAAACAAACAAACAAACCAAAATACGAACACATAATAAATTATACGAAAACATAATAAATTATAAACACATAAACACAAAAAAGGGAGTTGTTAACATAATAAATAGGAACATTGGTGATAAAAAATTTCTGATTTAGATGTGAGAGGAAATTTAGATGTTATTTCTGATAATTTAGATGTTATTAACCTAATAAATAGGAATTTCTATATATTTATATGTGTACACTTAAAAAGCTTACAAATTTATTAGAATCTATTACTTAATATGTTGGATTTGGAGTTTGAAATTAATTAAAAATTTTTGTCCATATCATCATCTGGACCCCTAAAAAGAATAATCAATTATAGAGGCAAAGAACTATATAATGTTTGTGAGTTTTTGGAGCTAAAATGGAGAAAACAATTTTCTTTTTCTTACTATAGCAACTCACTAACAACACTGCATGGACATAGACTTCACACCCACTTAAAAATTATGAACATGACTCTGAAAAAAGGGAGTTGCTATGACTCTGAAAAAACCAAATTAATGGCTGAATATTGGAAGTAAATAACCATAAGCACAGACCCAACACACTGAAAATGCAGTTAATATTCGATAGCAGGAATTCAAAAAATCTATAGCATGGGCCCAACACACTGAGAGAAAGGAGGAGAGACAAAAATTGGTAAAAAACATAGCAAAGCAATAACTGATTTTGGTGATAAAAAACAGAGCAGCCGAAGTGACTATATCATGGGGGTTGCTGCCACAAAGAGAAGGCAAAAGAGGGACTATAATTGACACTGGTAGGCGAAGATGGCAGGTTTCCTCAAGCAACATTTGAGATAGTGAGAGATTCATCTAGTTCAGGGGTGGCTAGTGTGATGTTGAGTTTGAGCCAAATAAAGATTATATATTGTTTTGGTGTATGTCAGACACCAAATAAATTATATAACACATTGAGCAGAATTTTTGTCTCTCATAATATATATGCATGCTCACATATCATCATCTGGACCAACTATTCAATTAATGATAAAAATTCATGAAATGATAAAAATTGAATGTGAGCATGAAATGATAAAAATTCACTTAATTGAATATTCATCTAATGATAAAAATTGGCTCTCATAACATCTAAATTCATGCTCACATCCATATATATTATTGGAAAAACATATTGAGCAGAATTTTTGGAAAAACATAAAAATTGTCTCTCATAACAGTAAACACATTGAGCAGAATTTTTGTCTCTCATCACTAATTTAAACAGTTGACAGTAATAAAAAACAGAATTTTTAATTACAGAATAAAAAACATTGAGCAGAATTTTTGAGTAGAATTTTTGGTGATTTTGGTGATAAAAAATAGAATAAAAAACAGTAATAAAAACATTGAGCAGAATTTTTGGTGATTTTGGTGATAAAAAAGAGAGCCAACTGATTTTGGTGATAAAAAACATAGCCTTTGCAACTACTCTTTAACAAAAGAAAAAAACAGTTTTTTTCTTTTGTTATTTCTTTAACAGAGCAACAAAAGAGATAAAAAACAAAGCGGTTGGCTCAATATCAATTATTTTTTCTTTAACAAAGCAATTATTTTCTTTAACAAAGCAGTTATTTTCTTTAACAAAGCAGCCATGATATAAACTAAACCATAGCAACCATGGTATAGTTACTTTGTTAACAAAGCAACTATTTTCTTTAACAAAGCAACTATTTTCTTTAACAAAACAGAGCAGTTGGCTCAATAACAAAAGAACAAAATTCACCCGTATATATTAGTTGGCTCAATATCAAAGCAAAGCAATAACAAAAGAAATAACAAAAGCTGAGAGAGGAAAAAGAGTGATGTCGAGCAACCAAACGTTACCAAAGCATTGAGCAGCCGAGCAAAAAAAAAATAAGAACCAAAGTAATAAAATAACTGAGCAGCCGAGCAGGATGTCGAGTAGCCGAAGTGAATAGCCGAGCAGCCAAAGTGATGTCACAGCCGGAGTGAACAACGGTGAGAGTGGTCAAAGTGATCCACAGAAACTCTGATGAAGGCAAAAGCTGAGAGGGAAAAAAAAATTCAAGAAGATGAACAATTACCCGAATCAATGAGAGAATACTAAAGTCATGTTTTCAATTAAGATAAAAATGAGAGAATACTGAAGTCATGTTTTCAACACTAAATAATAATACTGAATTGGTTAAAGTCATGTTTTCAATAACTCTATTGAACCCAGCAGTTAAAAATACTTTTCCATATATTGGTCTGTGCAAAATTTGTCTGATATAAATACTATAGATTTGTCTGATATATCCCTATAACTAAATATATATATGATTTGAAGGTCTAAGAACAGTGATGCGCTTAGTCTCGGGAGGTGGGGAAACATGCTGCAAATCATACAGATGCTGAGAGAACAAGGAATTTGGTTCTTGCAGAAACTTAACGAATAAATCTTTGTTAGAACTTAAAACTTCCAACACATCTTGGAATTGTTTGGATTGGCGAAATTTTTCATCTGTGGCTAGGCGTTTTGCTTCGATGAACTTCTGATGAACTAAAGCCATCTTTTTCTCATTTGTATCCTCATTATACCTTCATTTCTGTGGTGATTTATCTCTTACATAACTTCCTTTCTGTGATTGCTGTCATATTTCATAAACATCCTTATACTCATTATGCGCTGGACAATGATGGATCTCACATTGCAGTTGCATGTCCAATCCATGTTCTTGCTGCCAATTAGCCAAAGGAATACCTGAATGACTTCGTGCATAGTTTCTTGAATGACTTCTTTGCGCAGCAGAATCAGACTGTTGCCGTGGAAGGGTATCAAGCCCCATCAACTTGGCGACCACACTGGGAGGATTATGCTTGGACTCCACTTCTTTTGACATTTCCTGGTCTATGGGTGTTCCATTTGATCTTCTATTTGAAGCATTTCTCAACTCAGACACTATCTGCATGCCATCCACAAACATAAAATAGATCAGAGTAATGTAATAATATCGTAGTACAGATCTCAGTACTGAATAGACATCCTGCATAGATTTTAGTCAGCTGTGGACCATCATTACAACGACTTAGTAATAAACTTAATTTGTACCACTTTGTCCTCTATTGGATCACCAATAGGACTCGTCCTTGCTGAATCTGATTGGCTCCTTGAGAGTGGCAAACCTTTAAATCAATTACTACCAGGTCAATAAGGGCTATAATGGTTTACAAATGCAGAAGTCCAGCAAAGAGAAGAAGTATCATCAGGTTTAAACAAAGGAAATACATTAAATACAAAAAGGGAATAAGTGTTTTCCTGTAGAATTGGTTAAAGTCTGTGCAGAATTTCTTTTCCATATATCTATAACTCACCCGTATATACCAGTTGGCTCAATATCACCCGTATAACTCAAAATCCAAACCCAATACAATAAGATAAACCCAAAAACAGAGCAAGAAAGGGAGATAGAGAGGGAAGGTAGATACTGAGGGGAGAGTCAGTGCAGAGTAGGAATAGGGAGACAGACGGTAGACAGAGAGGGAGACAGAGAGGGAGATAGAGAGGGAAGGTAGAGGGTATGGGAAGACAGATGGTAGACAGAGGGTATGGAGGAGACAAAGGGTAGATATAGGCAAATCAAATGAAATGTGTTGGGCGGGAACCACCGATTGATCTAAACCATTGATCTAAACATTTTTGACATCTCAGCCGTCCAAATTAAATGTATCTCTCAGACATTTGTATAGATTTTCAAAAACCATCTTCCCTTATTATATAGATGTGGTTATTGCATTCAACATGACTAAAGACAAAAAATCAATGGCCAGTCATCATGAGACTTTACTCAATTAAATTATGGGTTTTCATACGCAACTGTCTCAAACTCTCAAAAGAAAGACAAAATCTCAAACTCATGAAAGTCACAAAAACTTGAGTTTGCAAAAAGACCCACAATAACACCAAATCGTCTCCAAACTCATTTGCTCTATTTCTCAATGCATATACGATCTTTTATCTCCGAGGGTGAGTCATAAATTGCCAAAATCTGAATTGGGTTTTGCTTATAAATTGTTTATCTCAAATGGGTCGTTTGATTTTTTCTGAATTTGGGCGTGTAGATGGGAGATGATGAAGAAGAGGACCCATGATCTTCATATATGCGTATATATCTGTATCTATGTGTCTAGATTAGAGTTTTTCAATTAGGATGGTGAAAGAGAATAGAGATATCAGGCCTGTGTTGTTCAAATTTGGTGTGGCTTTGGCTCTCTATCATCAAGAACTAATAATCCGCCACCGTTGCCATCTCCTTTCAAGCAGTGGGAGAAAACCTTGGGAGTAATCCCTCGGGATGACAACTGTGATATGACAAACAGACCCTGTCGACCAAACCCAAAAATCCCATCAATTTCTTTATCTGGCATAATTAAGTCCCCAGACTGATTGGTGCTACACCTGTTCACAAATTCCAAAACAGCCAATCAAATGTTCAAAATCCACCCAACAAAACTAAAGATGAACATTGATATGGGGATAAAACAACGACAATAGAAAAAAGAGGACAGAAGTTTTGAAATGTACACTCAACTCCTTAATCCTGATATGTTGCGAAGCCATTGCAGATATAACATATAATATAAGATACATTCTGCTAAGATCATTACTTCTCTAATCCTCCTTCAGTTGACCTTCATCCTTCTTTTTACAGTTACCATTAGAAATTTTGGTCCTGATCCCATTTATAATCCTCTTCCTCTTCTCCATTTACCAATGTAGAATCTACTAAGAGAATGAACACCACTGATTTTTTGTTGTAGAACATAAGGCCACGAAGTTTTAGACAAAAAGCCACTAAAAAAGCCAATTCCCAAATGAACCCTAAGTTAACTATTTTTTTTCAATTAGAAGATTGGTGAAATCATGTTGAAATAACCAATGTCACATTTGATTATGGTTGTTCTGTAAACTAAAATAATAAAAAAAAAAGCTGCTAATTATGGAAACCACATATTAGTCTATCACGAAGGCTTTTTATTTCACTCTTTTGGCCATTTACTCTCTCCATCTAATAGTTATTTTATGTCCCACATTGACATAGACAACCTTCAGAAGTCATAACAGCTTACCCGAAAACAATTGGGGCGGAAGAGTTAGTGACCAAAGACGGCCCCATAATTGTGTCAAAATACAGAAAATTAGATACATAAAAACCAAACGTCTCACTTCCATCTGTATACTGAAATGAATAACCGCATTGATTACTCTGAGCAGAGCATTCAGCAGGCAGGATCAAAGAAATTGAGCTTAATCTGCACACACTTAGACATTTTATTAAGAGAATTGTCTTAGCCAACCCACCAACAAAACTACTCCTATTAAGTCTTAAAACTCAAAACCTAATAAAAATTATCTTTTTTCTGGCAATAACAAACACAATTGGGTACAAACAAATCAACATAATTTGAAACACATCAACTATACATAAACATAATTACAAACTAATTGAAACCCAAAATGGAATTGAACCTAAAACCGAAATGGTATTTTTCGAAGAATGATTTCTGGTGGCTGAGCGTAAATCTACGGTTTGAGAGAGAGGGAGAGAGGAGAGGAGCAAACAGAGGAGCGAACTTGGTGAGGGAAACAAACACATATTACTAAACCAAATCTTACAAACTTGATTTAGAGCAATCCAAATACCTAAAAAACCCTAATTAACAAATCAATTTAAGGTTTAGAAAAACAAAAATCAAAATCAAAATGAGTACTCTGTTATATGATCAAAGCCCCAACTCTTCTGGATATATGATTAAAGCCACAAAACTATACTGAAATCGTTTTGGGTTGTAAGGGAATCTTACCTTGCGATGAAGAGGAGCGTGACGAATGAGGAGGAGGAGGAGGAGCGTCGGTAGCGAAGAGGGTGGGGGTTGATGAAGAGAATTGAAATCAAACGATTGATGAAGAGGAGCGTGGCGAAGGAGGAGCATCGGTAGTGAAGAGGGTGGGGTTTTTTGCTTCTGTCGAAGAAGAACAGTGAGTGAAAGAGAGAGAGATAGAGAGAGGGAAGGTAGGGAGGATGTGGTCAGACGTGCGTGGGTCAGACGTGCGTGAATGAATCAATCATCATTCATTTGAACCAATCTGAACCATCGATATAAGCTTAAGAATCATCTTAGCCGTTAAATTGAAATGTATCTCTGATACATTTTCACACAAATTCAAAAACTCTTCTCCCTTATTATATAGATATATATATATATATATATTATGCAGAGAGGATTTTTTCGAAGAGGACTTAGGTGTAAATTTTAATAGATAGATTTATTATCTAATAAGTTTTGTAAGAATAAATTACGTTTTTCATAAAAAATTACACTAATTGTTAATTTTTAATGACAATTTAAAAATTGTCACAAAAAATGTTACTAATTAAAAGTTTTAGCGACAGTTTTAAAAAATCGTCACAAGAAAAGTCAATAATTTTTAATTTTCAACGATTTGAAAAATTTATCACAAAAAAGTATCACTAATTATAAGTTTTAGCGGCTATTTATAAAAATCATGACAAAAAAAGTTACTAATTGTCAATTTTTAGCGACATATGCAAAAAATTGTCACAAAAAATTATTTTTAGCGATATTTTTATTATTTTCAATAGGACTTGATAAGAATTAAGTCAACTATTATGATCTATTAATAGTTCACCTTTTTTTTTTCAATGGGTGCAGCACGCGTTCTATTTTGATAATTCAAATTATTTAATGTGTAGAGCTTGTCAAGTATTTTATTTTTATTAAAAAAAGTACATTAATTGAATATCGATAGACATTTGATCAGAACATATTTTTGTAAACAATTTATTTTTAAAATCATATTTACTATTGATAAAAACATGATACGATCAATGGGCTATTGATATCCGATCAATATGATTTTTTTTGCAAGGATGAAGTACTCGACGATATCTACATATTGAACGGTTCAGATTATCAAAATGGGATGGGTCCCATGGGTCCAATAGCACCGTTTAGTCCACAAAGTGGACTAGAGAGAAGCCTTATCCTTTTTCAATACAAATCTAGACTAGATAGATGCCATTTGGGTTCACTGTAGGTCTTGTTTTAATAATTTAAACTGTTTATTTTTTTAAAAAATTGTCTATTATTCATACAAAAAATTAAGTCTATCTGATAATTGTAGTATATTTATTTTATAATATTTGTCTTAAAAAAATGAATCATCTATTTTCAAAATTACACTTACCGTTCATTTTTTAGAGACAACCACAATAAAATGAAAATGCCACGATTATCAGTTTGATCTAATCTCTTTTTTCTTTTTTTTCTTTTCTTTTGTATTGGATGATATACACAAGGAATCCTAAAAAATGAACGGCTCTAATCATTGAAACCATGCTCATGGTGGATCTCACAAGCCCAGATAGCACTTTTTTAGTCTACTACTAAACTGAATAGAATTATATATATAATATTAATAATGATATACAAATAAAAAATTATAGAAAATTTTCTTGCATAATAATATGACTCAATGTGTACTTTTGTTTACTTTAAAATAAAACATTCATAAAGATTAATTTATGGATACAAATTTTCATCAAAATCTCACTATAGTCCATTCACTTTTAATTATAATAGTTGATGTAGGCCGAGAAGTACCATATTGAGACCACTGAAGTTACATTTTTAGTCTTTCAATATTGTTTATTTACTAGAGATGATGTGCTTTGTGCATTTGTACAGATTTGGCAGGTAACACGCAAATTCAATCAAAAAGTGCACGAAAACATATTCTCCGAGCGAGAAACAAAAAATCCGAGCCAGCCAGACAACCGCACATGCAGCCACCACCGCTCGAGCAGCTCACATGGGCGTTCGAGCGGCCCACCTAGGGACGTGTGCGTGAAATTTTTAGCCTATTTTGCTGAGAATAAAAGGAAGAAAAATAGGCTAACTTAGGTTTCGAGATTAATTCAAAGGAAAGAGAGGCTAGGGTTCTAAAGAGTTGATTTTCTACTAAAGCTTGAAGGACACTTCCATGGGGGTTTCCTCCTCATCTTCTTCCTCTTCCCACTCCTCTATGAGTGGCTAGTCTTTTTTTCTAGGGTTTTGATGAAACCCTAGCCATGTAATAGGATTTTTTATGAGCTTTAATTGTGAATTGTTTTGAATCAATGTATGGATGATTTAGAAGTTTTTAATATTTGTTTCTTTCATTTCTTCAAATATTTTACTCTCTATGATTGTTTAATGCTTTCTATACATTAGTTTTCTTTGTGTTTGTATTCAAAGTACGAGACGAGTCATGCTACGAGAGATGGGTCGTATTGCTACCATAGTTTAGAGCAAACACCTCATACTACTCGAGATGATTCGTGCTTATACGTTGAATACGACAACTCTCTTGATCAATATTTCAAACTTGTAGTTATGAAATATTGGATGAGCTTTAATTGTGAATTGTTTTGAATCAATGTATGGATGATTTAGAAGTTTTTAATATTTGTTTCTTTCATCTCTTCAAGTATTTTACTCTCTGTGATTGTTTAATGCTTTCCATACATTAGTTTTCTTTGTGTTTGTATTTAAAGTACGAGACGAGTCATGCTACGAGAGACGGGTCGTATTGCTACCATAGTTTAGAGCAAACGCCTCATACTACTCGAGATGATTCGTGCTTATACGTTGAATGCGACAACTCTCTTGATCAATATTTCAAACTTGTAGTTATGAAATATTGGGTAGTTCAAACCGAATTGCAATTGTTGGCCAATTTTAAGTTTCATTCATGTGGTTAGTAGTGAATTTTTTACCCTAGGATTTTTTCCAAAAATTAATATCTCAAACCCTAATTTTAATTGTCAATTTAATTCTTCAATTTCATTTAATTCTTGTTTAGTCATAAAATAAATCTTATCTTTTTAATCAAAATTAATTTAGGAATTTAGCGATTAAATTAGTCTAATTTCACAATTGTCCCTGTGGATTGATACTTGAACTTGCCATTATTCTAAAAGAATTTGGTATAGTTTAGTGTTTATTTTTTGTGTGTGTAACGACACATCAAATTTTGGCGCCGTTGCCGAGAACTTCTGGCGAAATTAATTAATTTAAAGTTATATTCTTATTTTAATTTTTAGTTTAGGATTTTATGCTTTCGTGTTGCTAAGTGTGCAGAGTATTTGCAATTGGAACCATCACTGGAGTGCAAGTGAAGTGCAGCCAAGTTTTTAAACAAAAATACCGCAGCACCAAAGTGCTAAAAAAAAAAACATAAGAAAATACTCGCAAGCAAAGCACCAAAGTGCTAAGAAGAAAGACAAAGCTCAATTGGAGATTGGAGACAACGTCTACACGTCAAGCATCCGCAAGACGAGTAAAGCGTTTTCGTTAAATCGCTGTGAGTATTTCTCCCTTTGGTATTTTGCTTTCATACTTAGTGCACAGAGTTGAAACTTAGTGTGTTTGAGTGAGTAGTGTATGCACATGCGCCGTTCTTGTCGCCTTGAATTGTGGAGTTTGGACCTTGAACTAGAAAGGATTTTTAGGAAACTTAGAACCTCTACGCGTGTTCTTAGGCTTGAATATTCATATCCATACTTTGATCCATTAGAGATGGAAAATCCAAATGTCCCAAACAGGCCCAACCGGACCCTTAAGGATTATTTTACACCCACTGTATATACATCACCATCATGCATCCAATTACTCGACACCACTGCTGCTCATTATGAGATTAAGTCTAGTACCATACAAATGCTCCCATCATTCCATGGACTAACTCACGATGATCCTTATAAACATTTAAATGAATTTCTGGAAATTTGCTCTACAATGAGGATCCAAAATTTCACAAATGAGGCCTTAATGTTGCGATTGTTTCCATTCTCATTAAAGGACAAAGCCAAACACTGGCTGAATTTCTTACATGTTAATTCAATCACAACTTGGGACCAATTACAGAAACGATTCTTGGAGAAGTACTTTCCCATCAGTAAAACCAACCAACTTAGGCGAGCCATCACCAATTTTGCTCAAATTGATGGCGAACAATTTCATGAAACATGGGAGAGACTTCGTGACCTTCTTCAACAGTGTCCCCACCACCAAGTGCCTGATTGGCAACTTGTTCAAACTTTTTACTATGGCTTAACTGGGCCTCATTGCCAAATGGTGGGTTCATCTTGTGGTGGGACATTAATGTCCAAAAATAACGCCGAGACATGGCAATTTTTTGAGGGTTTAAGTGATAATTCCCTTCACCATGCCTCCGCAGCTCGGCAAGTCCGGTAACCAGTAGTTTGAGCCCCAAAAAGAAGGGGCATTTATGAGGTCGGGCAAAACCTGGAGTTAGCCCAACAAGTAGAGGCATTGTCCCACAAAAATGGACCAATTATTAGCTACAGGACATGCCCCTACACAGCAAGATCAGCCTCAATTTCATGAGGTGTGTGCTATTTGTGTGAGCCTTGCACATGACTTGAGTGAGTACCCTTCGGCATCACAATTTCTGAAGTTAGTCCAACAGCATGTAAATGCGACTCGAGGATTCTCCAACATGGGTAATGACCCATACTCCAACACATACAATCCAGGATGGAAAAATCACCTTAATTTCTCATGGAGACCTCATTTACAAGACACTTCTTACAACCCTCTACCACCAAGGCAGAATTTTAATAATTTTGCCAACCAATCTTTCTACCGACCACCACAACCTTATCGACCCCCACAATCTTACCGGCAACAATAACCCCTATCTATAGCGATCTCGGTTGTCCCTTTGTTGTTCAGTTGTATTCCGGACTCGGTTCCGTGGAATTGGTAGTTGTATCTATCTTGTTGTCGTCCTTTAAATCCATTTGTTTGAGTTTTAGGATGTGTTGGGCTTGGTTGTTACAGCTTGGTAGAGCTTTGGCTCCCATTGTTGTTGCCCAATTTTTGAGTGGTCCGCTCGAGCGGGTCATTTT